AGCCTGGGGGGGGGGTACCCCGGTGTGTGCCCCCCCATACTCATGGGGGCGCGGCCGCCCCCCGCCCCACTTGTGTTCTCCCGCCACACACACTGTGGAGCAGGGAGGCGGGGAGCCGCTGTCCCTTTGCGTCTTCCCTGGGCTCAGAAATGAAGCGAAACCTGCTGGTGCACGGAGAGTTTTGTGAAGTCGGAGCATTTTCCGGCGTGTTTCGCATGATGTGACGCTTCCCTTATGCCCTAGCCTGGAGCCCCCATAGAGCTACCGTCGTTCTGTCCTTGATACAGCACTTGCATCAGCGATGTAGGAACCTAAATGTGCGTTGCGAGCTGCTCACCTTGATTATGCTGCTATTGCCTAGCATAAAAACACAGCTATAAATAACTACAGCCCCCTATGTTAGAGTGGAATGATAGCCATGCCTGTATCTTACACAGTATGCATTGCCACTCCCTATTCGATATGTTGTAGGCTTGGATTTGCTGGGACCCACTTACAGTTGGATCCAGTGAGAGTTTTGATAGTTGACTAGGGTGAAAGTGGCCTGACTTGTTTAATGTCACTGTAGCGTGCACATGGTTGTTCTGGTTAGAGTGAACTGCTACTTCTTGTACAATTGGATTGTTTTATTAGGGTGAAAATAGATTTCACTAAAATGTGTGGGTTTGTATGAAAAATGTTAATACTGGTGTGAAATAAAGTGGTCAGACGTAAAGGTTGTTATGAAATGTTCGCAATTTACCTGTATGTTATGGTTAATAATGTCGTTCTAACGAGAAACAAGAGGCATATGTCAAACTGTGGAGCAGCATTAGTTCTTGAAGTCTTCTAGCTCTTGGGTGCTTGGATTCTCAGCTCTAACAGTTTAGTTAACCAGGGTAGTGGGGTGGGGTATGGTGGGGGAGAGGGCATTGGTCGGCATTCATTCTGGACTCTGTCAGTATCTGCCCCAGGGCAACCAGCCCATCTAGAAGAGCAAATTCAATGATGATGCACTGGTTATGTGCCACTCAAGGTACATTGCACATATGCTAAGAAATTAATTGTCTTTTCTTTTGACAGTTACTCACCATGCTTTAATGCATCATAGAATGTTAAGTCTAGCTATTCAGATTTGGAAGCTAGCAAGCTACATAAGTGGAAGTTTATAGCCTTGGTTCAAGCAGTTTATTAGGCTTGTTTTTTCACAGAAGCTCTTATTAGTTACCAGTTTTAGATGGCTTGTGGTCTGAAAGTTCTTAACGCTGGCATCAGTAATTGAAATATTCAGTTCCAGTAACTTCTTATAACAGTCTATAGTTATTTATTGTGGCAGTTGAGACTATCTGAGTGTTCTTACAGTTGCTAACACACTCATACTCACAACATATCTCTGAGGTGGCGAAGTTTTATTACACAGTGCGGGAACTGAGACTCAAAGACAGGGAGGGGTGGGCAATAAGAGGCCCATGACGTGATTATCCAGGGTTAGGCCAGGTCTACACTGGGGGGGAGGGGAAGGGAGTCAGCTTAAGGTACGCAACTTCAGCTATGTAAATAATAGGGATGTGTTAACATGTAATTGAATAGTCATGTAACCACATCAAACTTTAGTGGTTACAGGACTATTTGCTAGTCCCTGGGGGTAGGGCTGGCAGCCAGTGCACTCCCAGCCCTGCTGCTGGGAAGCCCCCTGCGATCCTGCACTACTGACTCAGTATTAGAAGCAGCAGCACTGGGTGGCAGGCAGGAGCCAGTCTGTGAGGGGAGCTGGTTTTAAAAATTAGCTCTCCACACAGACCAGCTCTGCCTGCCGTCCCTGTCCGTGAGGAGTCTGAGCTCCCTGTGGACAGAGGCTCCTCCAGCATCCCTGGAGTGGCCTCTGTTCACAGTGAGCCCAGGCTTGCCGTGGACAGAAGCTGTTTTGCGGAAGCCTCCTTTGTCCCTCTCTCTCTGCCTCCTCTCCCTCTCCCCCCCCCCCCCCCCCCCCCCCTTTTTTCCATTTGATTTTTTTTAGGAGTCAGTGGGACTTCCCGCCGGCCCTGGGCTCTGCCTGGCGTACCAACTTTGAAAGGTGGAACGCAGAAGTGCTTATCAACTACTTGACGGAAATTCCATCAACTACTTGACTAATAAATGAATCGCTAGTTAACATCCCTAGTCTTTACCAGACCCACTAAATTGAACCCTGGAAGATCAATTGCTAGAGCATCGATCCTCTGGTAAGTAGAGACTTTGTCTTAGTACCTGGTGGGCATTCATGGATACAGCCACAAGCCTATTGACCATGGCTTGCTGTTCCCCACCAATTGGAGCTGAGAGTGGCCATACCTGTGGATGTGCAGGTAAATCATCTGGTGATCCACCTGGGGCTAATCCTAGTGATATATTGCCCATCCCTGCTCAGAGATTGAGGCTCTGATCCTGCAAAGGCTTACACAGGTTTAGCTTTGTCGTCTTGACTTCAGTATTTCTATGGTGGTGAAAATTAGAAGAGCAACTTTGATTAGGGAAAAACCTTTCCTTCCTTTATAACCAAGCAGAAGGAAAAAACTGAACAGACACAATTTTATCTTGCTTTTTAGCTTCTTAAGGTTCGACTGGACTTGGTCCTCTGTAAACTGGTTTGGCTTGTCAAGAGTGGTGTGTCATTTCTCCTGCCTTCTCCTTCATGAAAAGCTAATCAGGATTCAGTTCTATTCCATTAATAGAAATAGGGTAGTGGAAGACTATCCATATTATTCAGAGTTAGTTTACACTTTAAGCAAGGTGGAGGGATGCATTAACATACCTCAAAATGAAATGATAAAGATATCTTTAATTAGTTTCCTGTGCACTTTTAATCTTGAAAATAGTTAAGATGTAAACATTTTTTAATTATTTTAAGTTTTAAGAAAAACAATAATGGTGAATTTAGTATTTTTGTAAGGTTGAATATAATTTAAAAGTTAATGTAATCTATAGTCTACAGCAGGAGTACTCAACACACGGCCCATGGGCCGCATGCGTTTTGCGGCCTGTGGTGCAGTTTGGGTTGATATGTGTTTTAGTAGTTAAATTTCTGGACTGTAATTGATCATTAAAAGTGCTATCGTATGGGTGGAATTGGGTAAATATTGCATTTTATTAATTTCAGCAGAATTAAATTAAATGGGGCCTGCACATTGTATAGTCTTGCCTTAATTTTTGTATCCATACTCGGCAGTGTGAAAGAAGCTATTTACATATATATTTGCATGTATATCCAACCACACTTAAGTTGCTGCCCTCGGCATGTACTGTGAGTATCATTGTGGCCCCAGGGCTTCCAAAGTTGAATAGCTCTGGTCTACAGAATCTTAGCCTTTTAAAGTGTAAATTCAACTAAACACAATAAAATTCAATACTCTGAGACTAAATGCTGTATTTAGGTAATATTTTGCTATAATATATATGTAGTGAACAACATATTTTCTTTAAAACTTGCTTAAGTTTACATAGTTTCTTTATCAGAAAACACATGCTTTCCATTTTGGAGATGAACCTCATACTGTGGTCTTGAGTGTCTCAAATGCAAACCTTTCCAAAGACAATCATGTATCCTTCTCTAGCAGTCTGCCATAGCCCTTTCCATAAATACTTGTGTTAGCGAACCTAAAAGAAAAATGAAAATTAAAACTTTGCTCGCCTGAAACACTGTGCTCTTACAATCTAGTAATTCATTGTCTGTCTTGTTTCTTTCAGAACTATCACGATGTTATGGCCTGCCACCCAGAAAACTTTCAGTGGGCATGCTGGAGTTTAGAAAACGTAGCTATCATACTTGCTCGCCGATTCCCTAATAGTTATGTTTGGGTTGTAAAATGTTCCCGTATGCATCTGCACAAATTCAGCTGCTATGATAACTTTGTGGCAAGTAATATGTTTGGAGCACCAGACCACAGTATTGACTTTGGAGCTTTCACACACCTTCATGCTTTGCTAGTTAATGCATTCAGCATCACTCAGAACATTTTGCTGTCCCAGAAGAGTATGTATAGTTTCAACAAGGATGCAACAATAGCTGTTTGTGAATCAAAATCTGTTCCTACAACAAATGGCTGTCCAGCAGCAAAGAGAGAGAGAAATTGTGAACATTCTAGTAATTCTGCTATAAATTTCGGTGCACCATCTGTTATAGGTGCAGCATCATTTACTTTGATTGGTTTCAGTAAAGGTTGTGTGGTTTTGAACCAGTTGCTTTATGAGTTAAAAGAAACTAAAAAGGACAGAAGCACAGATGCCTTTCTAAAAAATATAAAAGCGTTTTACTGGTTAGATGGTGGTCACTCTGGAGGAAGCAATACTTGGGTTACTGACCCTGAAGTGTTGAAAGAATTTGCACAGACAGGGATTGCAGTTCATGCTCATGTTACACCTTACCAAGTGTTTGATACAATGAGGTCATGGATTGGGAAGGAGCACAGGAAATTTGTGCAGATTCTTGAAGAATTTGGTGTACAAGTAAATAAACTGCTTCATTTTGCAGATGAAGTCCCTTCCTTAGATAACCACTTCAGAGTTCATGAAGTATTTTGAGACTTTGAATATACAACTGTGTACTGTATTCTTTGCAAAAGCACTTTTGACTTTGTCTTGAAATGTTGACTTACAATTTTTGTGCTGACTGTCCCTAAAGTAGAGTACTGAATACATTATAATGTGTTAAATCTGTATATATATTCATGTGCTTTAAGAAGGGCCTTGGCATGAGAGTCTATATGCTTGTGCTGATATTTATATAGCAAGAGAGATTGTCTGACCCTTAGGAAAGGTAACAGCTGTCCATGTATAGATGTATTTTTAACATAACAGACATTTTTGTGCAAAATGTTTGCATTTATTCTGAAACTGATTTGTAGCCAAAATTTTCAACCCTGGTGCCTGAAGTTAGTCTCTTAAGCTGCTGTCAATAGGAGTTATAAGCACTCAGTACTTCCTGAATGTCAGGCCACTTTTATTGGGGAACCTAATTTTGACCTTCTACCATTGAGAATTTTGGCCTCTGCTAGTAGAAAACAGAAATCTTTTAGCTTTTTGACACACAGGAAAAAATGTGATAGTTGAAGCAGTCTTGGTTATATATTTCAATGCAAATAGTACTATTGGATAGCTTTAAACCTGTGAGTTCTGTAACTTTCCCTCAATGAAGCAAAAGCACAAATGACATTTACTTTTGAAATAAGGGTGCCAGTCTGTTCTTTTTTTATAGTCACAGAAAGGGCATGTTGCTTTTGAAGTTCCATTAACTAATTGCTAACCATATGCTAGGGAGTAGCCTTTCATTTGGGAACTTGAGAATATTAAACATGTAGCTATAATTTTTAAAATGACCAAGAATGCTCTTTAGTGTTTAGTGTACTATTCTTGTTAGTCTCTAAAGTGCTACATTGTCCTGCATTTTGCTTTAGTGTTTAGTGTACTATTAGTTCAACATTCCCTATTAGTACTGTGAAGTCTCTCTATCCATTTGAATTTGAAGTTGTTGGGTCCTTCTTGAACAGGAATTTGTGGCAGTTTTCATTTAAATCAAGCCATGAAATATAATCTATGATGGCATATATTGCAAGTTACATAGTAACTTCTAGAATGTGTCTGCTCAAGAATTTGGAAAGAGTTTGTAGAACTGATTGTTAGTACCCTAAAAAAGCTACACAGCTTTATTTTCAGGAGCATAATTTTCTACACTTTTTTTTAACTAAAGTACAAAACTAGATTAGTAAAAGGATGCTGACAGATACATTCAGATCTTCTATTTAAACTATTTTAAAAACTACTACAAGGTGGGTGAGGATAGAATTTGTTGCCTTAAAGTCTTTTTCATATTTAAGCAGGTGATAAATGAATCTGGGTTTGGAAAATCCTATCCTTAAAAATAGCTGATAAACCAATGGTTGTTTGGGAAAAAAAAACCACATCTTTGTCTAAAAGTGTGTAAAAGCAATTGAGTTACAACTGCTGTTGGTTGTGAAGATGGAAATAACCCAAAGTTAGTGTGGGTCTACTTTGAAAAGTGATAGTATACAAATTACGCCATACTCAACTTGTTCCTTATTTGGGGTTATATCTGCTTGTTTAGTGGCAGTTTTTACTATGTTTTTTCTCCTTTTAGCTCTACAATGCTGAAAGGGGAGCAGGATTTTTCTCTGCATCATCACACACTTATTTAATTTTCATTCAGCTACCCCTGTACAAGACCACTGGAGAATATGAAATTTTATGAATGTCACAAACATAATTTGGTATGAGCCTATCTTACTGGTGGTGATGTGCAACAATAAAAAGTTAGTCTAGGGAATCTTTTTTACTTGTCAGCTTAGCACAGTTGATTTGGAAGCAAGTGGAGAAGATATTGCGCATTAAATACCATGTTTTACAGAGTTACTTTCCAAAATAAAACTACATGTTACGGTTAAATCTATTTAAGTAGGCTTAAATGTTTGCTCATGAGTGAACAAAAAATTAGCCTATTCAGTAATTGTACATTAAAATACTCTAAACAATGGAGAAAATTATAGCATATAATATATAAAATCAATTCCAAATGATTAAATGTTGCTCAATGATGTGATATCTACCTTCTGCTCTTATTCAAGCTTCACAGGAAGCTTTAGGCAGCGCTACCTATTGATTATCTTTTTAGTACATTTTTAACAAACCACCTTTATATACACATTCCAAAATAGATGATTAGCCCGGGTAGCACTCTTAACTACAAAAGAAGTGGGTGTCAGGGTTTTTCTATTTGAAATGATATGCTTTAAAGACGACAAAACACATTTTGTAGCCTATGTTTAATACAAATCATTTGAAAGTCTTACGTGAATCATCTACAATGCATCTTATGCTCCTTACTGGTGTAGTGAAGAAACCTTTCCAAAGTTGTGCAGATATTAATTTTGGTACACAAAGAAAAGAAAATTCTCTATTCTGTAATAGGAACACCTTCAAAACAATATGCAGTGTTAGCCAAAGTGATAATTTAAAGGATATTACAAACCTGTGAAAACAGCTACTTTATACTGTTTGGCAGTGTCCTCAAGGTTTCTGGATGATTGTCCTAAGGAAACGTGAATCATCAGAACAACAGAAGTGGCTTATAAAATACCCAGTGCATTTGATCAAATTGTAGTTTCTGTGCTACTTTGAAGATAAACACTTTCATATAAAATATATTTCCATTTTAAGAGTTTTTGTTCTAAGATTTACTATTTGTCCCTTTTTTATTGTATGTTCACTTTCTCTAACCAGTAGCGGTATTTTATTGGACTGCACCTCTGTCATTCACTTCAGCGCATGCTAAAAATAAAATGTGCAGACAATGTGGAAAGTAATTTAAATGTTTTACAGGGAAAACCACCTCAGTGTGGATGTAAAACTAACTGTATTAAACAAGAAATCTGCAGTTAACTGGTGTGAAGTATATGTTATTGTGGATTGGTGGAAATCTGTATTTATGTACTCCTGCTATTGTGCTGTCAAAGTGGCTTACTTAGGAAAATTGTAAGAAGGTCTGCTGTTTGTCCTGAGGGACAGTAAATAGTTCTCTAACTATTATATAATAAAGAACAAGATTTGGTTCTGTGAAACTGTCAAGGTTCCTCCTTACCTATTTAATGTAGAAGTGTATATACTTTCAAATCTCTGGAAACTTAGGGCGATAAAAAAATAGCTGCAACTTTGTTTTACTGATCTATTACCATGTAAAGTACATGTTTAAAAGTGACTAAATTAACCATAATATAATCCAGGATTCTAGTAATGCTTTGTACAAATGCAAATGTAACCTCTAGGTTTATATTAAAATCAAATTTAAATTAGGGTGGAATTGTGGCAGTGCAGGTTAAACAAATTTATACTAGTTTAAAGAGAAAAAGCTACCATGTGGATAGCTTTTCAGATATTTAGCCACAGTAGTACAGGCACTTTGATATTACAGTATTTACAAACAGAAAAAGTATGTAGCATGCTTGCCTGAATTGAGAACAGTGGATGTGGGTGTGAGATGAGCACTTCTAACTGAAATGGCCAGATTTGTAAGTGCCTAAATGTGAGCACAACTCTCTTGCAGCTCTGCACTAAAATTGTGGGTAATGAGCACTTAGACAGCCACATGCTGTTTTTTCCTTTGTGATACTACATTTTTATTATTGTGGAATATATACTATATGGTAACAAGCATTTTGGTGCACCAACATCATCTGCTAGTAATACCAGAGTGTGGCACCTTCAAAGACTGAGATTTATTTGGGCATAAGTTTTCATGGGCAAAGCTGGACCTTGGCAATGCTGGGTAAGTCTTCTAATCTAACTATATAGACTTAGAAACTGCAACCTCAATGAGGATGTAGTTCTATTCTACTTTCAAGGTATTCATTCCAAATGTAAGCAAATGATTAGCTCTTCAAGAGTTTAAAATAAGGGTTTAGTTTGCTTCAAACAGATTGTGGAGAGGTCCTCTGCTGTTGTCTTATTACTTTCAGGAGTGCTGGATTTCTCTAAATTGCTGTCAATTTTGCAAGTGTTACTGCAGACTTTGCCAAAATTTGTAGTAGGATCCCAAAACCTGGAAGACGTAAGTCAGTCAGGGTCCTTTAAATCCCCTGATGACTTGCCTGTACGGCAGTGGATTTTCTTTTTTTTTCATTTGCAGAGTCATACAAATTTTCAAATGGAGGTTCAGACCTTTTTGAACATCTTAGACCTAGTTTGCACCCTCTTCCTTCCTCTTCACCCCTCACCATCTGTGGATCAGAGACCAAAAACTATTGTTCTGGGATTTTCAAAGGGGTGGCAACCAGATGAGGCTATTAACTCCGTTCCAGTCCAACAGCAGAGCTTCCTTTCCCCAGCCATTATTGCTGGAAATATGATGTTTCTGTAACAATCTTTGTGTGGTCTCTAAAACAGAAAAATCCTTTCACAGCAAAAATGGTCAGTTACTTTATGCATTATCATTTGCAAGTAATGCTTTCTAATTTTTGTTAAATGATAGTACCATACAGATCAGCAGTGTGCTTTGTCTTAATATTCTCAATCTGCTCTAAAATGTTCAATAGGAATATGTTAACACCATAAACAGCAGAAAAAGAGAGTCTGCTTTTAGTCCTTGTGCCTCTGTCTGTGAGGCAGTAGCAAAGTGTCAAACCTTGCAGACAGAGACCAGAATGTACCCTCCAAATCATTAGCTGCCTCAAAAAAAGTTGGCTACAGTTTACATGTATTTGTGCTACAAATTTAATGTTTGGAAATTGTAGAATTTCATTTATTCTTCCTGTTATGATTAGCAGAATTTGCACTTAGCGAGGCAGGCCTATACGTCAAGTCCTTGTACATAAGCTAACTTGAAATAAATACACTGCCAGTGAGTGCTGTGCATCTGTAATGTATTTAGCCTATACAGTGAATTTACTAGATGTTCAAGCACCTACACTGGAAACACATGTTCACACTCAGGGATGGGCAGGGGGGAGGTGACAACATACTATAGAGTAAACAATAACCCAGCCAATTAGTAATCAGTTTTGAAGCGGTTAAATAATGGAGATCGCTGTTAACAGAGTTAAATATAAGGGCCACTGTAGGTCAAATTCAGTGTGTGTCTTAAGCTAGTAGCCCCTCAACAGGACTACTTGTATGAATGAAACAAGTAGAGTTTCATCCTAAGCATTTAGAAGGGCTCACTCTATTTGTCTACTTCTGATATTAAGTGGTTTTCTGATTTGTTTGGGTAACACCAAGAGTCAAACTCAAGTCCTGTCAACATCCATTAAAAACAATTTATACCAGAAAAAGATGGGGGAGGGGATTAATATATAAATGTCTGTTGAGCATTCCATTGCATGAAGTTTTTATTTCATTTTTAAAGTGGCATGTCATTGCTCCAACTAATTGCTTTATGATGGATAGTTGAAATAGCCCATGTTAAGTCTGAGACGAGTATTTTGACATGCATGTCTGTCTTTGCATTTTTCTTTCCATGGCACCTGTGCTAAGAAAAACATATAATGTATATCTTCTAAAATCAACTGTTGCCCTTGGTAATCTCCACCACCAAGTGTAAATATTTTTTAAATTCCTTCCAGATGTTGGTTTGTAATAAAATCAGTTACACTGCAACAACACTGGTGACTGACATCTTAATGTAACAAAACATAATGAGGTAGCCAAGTTTTGACTAGTGTTTTGGGGGTGTTCCTGATATTTAAATCTCGGCTTCACCTTCTATCATGACAGTATCATCTATCCTTATTGCCATGTCATATGCTACTTTAAGTATTTATTTTTAATATTCTTTGTACAGTTAGGATAAAAAAAATTAAAATGACAAATACCCCATCACAGAACTTTCTGGGTTATTGTAGCATGATTCCATTTTGCTGTGGGTCACAACAGGCCAAAATCCCACACACTAGCATGTCTATTTCCAAGCCTATACATTATATATTATTTTAGTAACTGTGGGTTTTTTTAGGTTGAGATTTTCACTAATCATTCTAGCTTGAAGTTATTCCTTGAACATGTTGGACCTAATTAAAACTGTGCCACTCCATTTTTACACCAACATGAGAAGAAACACCCAATTTGTTTACATAATAGCTTCAGGATCATCACAAAGGAAAAAAACAATGGCAATGCGTGCTCTCAGATGACAGGCTTCAAAAAAGGAATAACCATTGCTTTGTAAAGAGGATTTAGGATACCAGTAGTAAGCTTGTCCAATGTCCTGCCTGGAATTGGGAGTAATGAGACCACTTTCTACTAGACAAAAATCCACAACACAATTGGCACCCTTATTCTTGGTAGCATTTCTAGAGAGCATGTACATGACAGAGGCCACAGAGTGGGAATGACAGCCCTAGATTGCTCCACCAAAAGGCTGGTGGGAGAGAGGGAGCAGAAGTTGTGTTACCAGAAGCAAGAGGACACCAGTGCCTATTTTTCAATATAAAAGACGTAAAGGTGCCATTTGAAGGGTTGTGTAGATAGCAAGCTTAATATTTTTGAAGTTGTGTAATACAAATAGCTGTATTTATAGTATTTTTCACATATTGCAATATTCTGTGTCTTGGCCCAAAATTCATGTTATACAGGTTGAACCTCACTGGTCTAGCAACAGCTGTGGCTGGAACCTCTTCAGCTGGGGGTGTGAAGTTGCTGCTGGGTAGAGCAGGATGGCAGCCTGGAGTGGAGCCCCATCCCTTTGCCTTAACACCTACACCAGTGGGGACAGCCTCTGGAGCGAGAGTGGTTAAAATCCAAAGGGCCCTTCTCTTCTATTGTCCAGGCCCTAAGACTATTGATGTACCTACAAGCTGTGACCCACACATGTTGACTGCTACATGATTCAATCTTCCCTGCTTAGGAATTATTTTTATTACTGAGGCAGCAAGAGGTCCCAGTCATGGCTTTGTGGCTTACATGACTGAAGGAGGACACCAGCTATTTGGTCAAGCTAGATCCTCCTCTTTTGGGTATGGCCTGGTCTATGCTACTAGTTTAGTTTGAACTTAGCCACATTAGGTCAACTTTCTAAATAATGTGTCCTCACCAACAACTGCACAGGAAAAGCCTTGGGAAAATTTGAATTTCATTTCTGGTTAGGCCAATGTGGTGACCACAACAGGCAGCTCCCCTCAGCCGCACACCTGATCATAACCGCCTAGCGTCACATACAAGCTCCAGCATGGAGCATGCAGGAGATCCTAGACCTGATTACTGTGGAAGGAGAGGAATCTGTTCCAGCAGAACTACAAAGTAGCAGAAGAAACACTGATATCTGTGCCAAAATTGCATAGGCCAGGGACACCTAGAAGTTCCATGTGAAAATAAAGCAGCTCAAGCAGACATACCAGAAGACAAATGAGGCAAATGGATGGTCTGGGTCAGCACCATAACCATGCCACTTTCTGAGGAGCTGTATGGGATTCTAGAGATGGGGGAGGGGATGGAAGCAGTGACCCAAAGCTATCTGTGGATTGCTCCCATGAGACTCTTCAGGCTGCCTCAGACAATAGAGGGGAGGACATTGTGGATGACAAATAAGAGAATGGTCAGTAGTGAGCAGAGCATCTGATCTCACCAAAAGCCAGGATTTTTTTAAACTTTAGAGCCAATACTGTTCTAGGATGTATTGCTGTTGGACTCTGATGGTGGGGAGGGCAATATGCAGTCCCACCAATCTGTCATGCCATGAGACGCACAATTGGCTTTCTACTGTCATGAGGATCAAATGCTGCTAGTGCCTGTCAATTGCTTTGCTCAAATGTTTCACAAATGTCTGTGTTTGTGCCTTCCTCACTCCTGTGGCTTCTGGCTAGGCTCTGGCCATACTGCAGCAGCAGGTGTGAGATGTTTGCTACGATTGCTGTAGCACTTTGCAGCTGAATGGGATCCAGGCTTGCCCTGTTATCGAGTCTGAACAAATAACCAGGTTAAAAACGGTACAAAAAGAGTATTTGCCAATTGCTTTCAAGCAGGGTGGGAGGAGGCGATATGTGCAACAGTGGGAAGCCGATGACATGTACTGCTGTACTGTTTTTGTCCCATCAGAGAGTAGGATCCTACCAGATTGCAAAGAAATGGTGGGAACTGTGGGATAGCTACCACCAGAACATCACTGCCAAAGTTGACAGTAGCCTTCTGGGCACTCACTACACCAAACTCTTAGCCTCAATGGAGACGTGCATCTTCAGCTTTATAAAATCGGGTGTGTAGACATGGCTTAGAATGCTCTACTGAACTGGGCAGGCAGGCAGTGCAATCCCCTGCACCTTTGTGGGCTGGCATTCCAGAAAGCTGTTGCCAGCTGGCTGAGAGCATATGAAGCCAGAATTAGCAGATGGAAAACAGGCGAATGAGGGGCTTGATCTCTAAGCCTGACACTGCTTTATTTTTTTCCCTAGTCCCCAAAGAGGCTTCTAGGATGCTATATACTCTTTCCAAGGATCCTTTGATCCAATCTGAGTCCTTGAACCCTTTCACAGATCCTACCGTAATTCCTTTCCCTCCTCTCCCCCTGTATCTGTGAAGTCCTTTTAACTATAGAAGTAGACATTTTGAGGAATAGAAAGTGTTTCAATGTTTTCAGGTTGCAATTCCATCCTCAGTGTGCATAACTTATGCACATCAAGATCGCCTGGCTGGTTACATTCATGCCTATTCATTAGGGTGGCATTTTGCCCATCCACATGGTGGGAAGTTATTTTCTCTAAGTTATAGCTGCCAACAAAAATGGATTTAGATGAATAATCTGCAGTGTTGTAAGGCCCAGCTTCTGCAGGAAGCCCTGGTTCTGTGCCTTATTAGTAGCACATATCCCTTTAGTCCTGCTAAGAGCTTTTGACAAGTCACAATCCTTCACATTGTTTGAAGCATCAGATGGATATAAATGGCAGATAAATGACAAAACCTCCACTACATTTATCTTATGCTGTAATAAAATAGAGATATTTAAACGGACAGTGGCAGCATGTCATATTTGTCAGATGTCCCCTTATCATTCATCGTACAAAAGAAGATTCCCTAGAGCAACATTTTATAGCTCTGTTCACTGGGAAGCTACTGGTTCATAACTCAGTGAGTAGGCACCAGTGCTACTCTTAAAGTATCCAAAAATCACGAGGCCGGAGTCTGCAAGCATTTTGTACATTGATTATGACATCAGTAGTTCTTCCACATGCAAAAGGAATTGCTGATTATAGCCACCTGACCACTCCCCTCTCTCTCATGTGCCATACCCCACATAATAGAAATTGAACAGACCTCCAACCGTGAATTTTTAGGGGACCTGAATGGTAGAGGTTTGACAGAGACAGCACTTGTGAACTTTCAACATTCAGTTCTAATAGAGATCTCAGCTGAGCTCCTCCTTTTAACACCCTTTTAGGTACTTGAAAACTGCTATCAACTTAAAGCAAGGTCAGGGTTTGGTTGTTCCAGGAAATGGGATGTGCCTGGAATTCGATTGTTTCTCATAAAATGGAAAAGAAGAAGTCTGGTAGGCGGGACAGTTATATTGTATAATAACCACAGGCGGATAAGCAAGGGACCAGAGATGGGGATAGGGACAGCTCTAATTCCATTGGGCAACTTGGGGGCACGGGGTGGAGAAAGGAAACAGAATTTGTCTATCTGTCCATCCCTAGCTGGGAGACATGCATCCCTCCCTTGACTGTCTCAATGTAGGTGCAGCTGCCATGGACAGGTGCTTCTCACCCAACCCAAGGTGCTGTGGTGACAAGAGGTCTAGGGTTGTCCTCTCTCCCAGGGGCAACCCACATACTGAATCCTTCAAGCTCAGCCCAACTCTAGAACCATGATTTAAATGAAGAAAACCAAAAATTACTTGAGTTAAGAACTTGAGCAATGCTGGGTAAATCTTCTAGTATACACATTTTTTTAAATGTACATGTTTGAGTTTTACATATGAGACCCACAGCTTCATCAAGCAGATTATAGTGCATGCGGATTAGTAGAAATGGAATCTCTTAAACAACATCCATTGGCTATGAAACAAGTAGTCATCAACAGTGAACATTTTTTATTAAAATCTTCTCCAAGTATCTCAGGTACAGTATCAATATCTGTACTTCTCCATATTTTCAGGAGAGTTGGGTTGATTGTTTTTTCATGCTGTTTATTCATAGTTAGTGCTATAAGCTTTCTCTTGAATGCGTAAAACCATTCTCCGGGCATAAAAATCCCTATATTCCTCAGGCAGTTCCTCCAGTGTTTTCAAAGCCCTATCCAAAATCTGTACAGCTCTGGAGGCTGCCATAGGATCTTTGTTTCCGTAAGTGTCTGTTTTATCATAGCACTCAGAAGGAAGATGCTTCCAAAAGACATTCACTCCCACTCCAAATTCTTCAGAAATTACATTATGGAACCATAAAGCTGTAGGTAGAAAAAAGTCTAAATAGTTAAACTGCCACTTAAAACTTGATTTCATTTACAACAAAGATGTTTGAACCATCTCAAACTGAATGTAACTGACAAGAAATTAGAAGGATATCATCTTAGTTTGTATCCTCAAAAACAACATTATGTTATAGGTACCTCTGATTCACTGCATCATATGCTACATTATATCAAACAATGAGTTCTTGTTCCTGAAGATATTTATAAGCATGCTTAGACTTTATGCATAAGTATTTCCTCTGAAGCTAATATAAAGGTGGGTAAGTGTTTGCCAGATCAGGGCCAATGGACCAAATTCCTTGTCCCTTTTTCATGTCATTTAGCCCATTACCTTGAATGGGAATACTTGCATGAGTAAAGAATGCAGGATTAAGCCCAAAATCTTGGCTCCACTCTTGGAAACACAAGTAACTTCACTCATTGCATACGTGTTTGCAAAATTAGAACCCCCACTCTTGGGCTGTGTCCAGACTCCATGGAAACACAAGTGACTTCACTCATTGCATACGTGTTTGCAAAATTAGAACCTTCACTTGCATAGATTTTCAACATGCCAGTTTAGATGATCAATATTAGTATCAGCCAGCAACTTTTATGATGGTCAAGCAATAGCAAGGTTTTTCATTTGAATAATTATGACAAAAACCAAGTAAGCAAGGCTGCTATGTATTTGTAATTTTAAGTAGCATATGTATCATGTGCCTGTTTTCACTGAATTGCAGTAGTTCTACCATTTCAGTTTTGGAATATTGTTTTTATTACTCGTTTTATAGTTAGTGAATTGAACATTTCAGATTTTTTTTGTTTGTTCTGTATCTTTCACCTCCTGGACTCAAGCTTCTGCTTTTGTCTGTAAAGAATGCCTGATTCTGCAATAGGATTTTTGGGACACAGTTATATTTGAAACCTAGCATTTTAAAACCAAGTTTTATTTTAAGCTTATTTCTAAAAATGTAAAACAGTAATTCCATTTAAGACAGCACAGTAATACTGATGTGAGATCATAATCAAACGAAACAATCCTATTTTCTAAAATTCAGGACTGTTGGGAGAGGGAATGGCCTCTCTCAGAGACTAAGTACAGGGACTACACTACTCCTCTGGTGCACGGACACGAAGTTTAAAAGGTAGGACCTACAGTTCAATTGTGCAAGAGCTGGGGAAGGGAGTAGATTTTTTTGCCTGCCTCCAGGCACTGCAGTGCCAAAGACATCCAAGTGACCAGCACCCAAAGGAGCTAACAGGACTGCCGCTGGCTGTGTACCCTTGGTAAATGTAGAAATCCCAGGAGACAAAGGTATAGTCAGTAGTAGGAAGTATCCCAAGGACACCAGACATTGGTCTAGTTGTGTTGCCAGAGTCTAGGTCAGTGTGTTTCAGTGGGAACTCTGCTGACCCAGGGATGGAACGCTGTGGTTCCTACCCACAGAGCCCTTTGACTGCTCATTGCTTTTCTCTGCCCACAACCCTATGATTGCCAATTCTCCTGTTGAGCATGGCACTTATAGCCACAATGTAGTGAGGGGGCATGGTCTCCAAGACTGACAAGAATGGACAGCTATGGACCCTTTTACAGTCACATAAAATGTGTGACTACATATACACATAGCACGTGTGTGCTGCATACTACACTTAAGTTATTGGATCTTAGACTATATCAGTGGCTCAGTTTTCAAGATCAATAACACTTTAGCATAACTGAATTGAAATTGAAAACACTTGCTAACAAAATCAGATAGGAACATCTACACTGGCTAGAACAAAGTGAAAATGTATGCAAACGTTTGTAGTATCTAGAACATTACAGCTACCTGTATGAAGTCAGTCTCTCTCTCCCTGCAATATATGTGCTATCTCCCTTTAGTTCTGTTCAAAATTTACATATATTTTCTGAAATTCATTCTTTGGTCACTGAGTGATGCTGAATAGTAAGAATCAAAGTAAATACTAAACAAAAGCACCAGACTTTGCATAAAATCTACATCACAATCAACACAAATATTAAAAGAAAGGAGGAATAGGAAACACTTCCTACAAGTGAAATGCTTTTCACTAATCTATGTAATATAAAGTTTGGGTTTTCTAAAAAAAACCCTGCATAGCACTGAACACACAAGTGGCCAGCTGAAAGCTCAATAACAAATTTGTCCCTGGAATATTAAATTAAGTCTTCTTAGATCAATGAAAGATCTTCATTTTCCGTAACAACAAAAGAATGGCCGCACTAAGTCAAATCAATGGTGCACCTGTCTCCCAACACCCAGTGCTTCAGAAGAAATAGGGCAATTTTCCTGAGATTCATCCCTTGTCATCCACTCCTCGTTTCTGGCTGTCAGAGGTTTAGAGGCATCCAGAGCATAGAATAGTGTCTCTGGCCATCTTGGCTAACAGCCACTAATGGACTTCTATGCCATTAATTTATCTAATTCTTTTGTGAGGCCAGTTATACTTTGGCCTTTATAACATCCCCTTGCAACAAATTCCACAGTTTGACTGTGTTGTAGGAATAAGTAATCCTTTTGTTTGTTGTAAATCTGTTGTCACTTACTTTCACTGCGTGGCCCTGGCTGCACAGGTAAATAACACTTCCCTGTTCACCTTCTCCTCACCATTCACATTTTTAGAGATTGCTGTCATATCCCGCTTAATTCCCTCACTATAGTTATATCATAACGCTACCAAGATTGCAAACCAGTGAAAAGCATCCAGATACTTACATGTGCTCAGGTTCATAGTTAATAAAAGTTAATACCAGTTAGTAGGTTGTTAAAAGATGGATAGACCAGCGGGAATAATTCAGCTGGCTAATCTTCTCCAATGCTGTGCCATCTTGCACAGCAAGCTGTTTTCCATTTACTACTGTTGCAGAAAGTTAGGAGCATCTTAAAACGTAAATTATTCTGACTTTTTTTTTCAAAGCTGACAATTTGTAATAAAACAAAGTAAGAACTTAACTGCTCTATCCTTAATGCACATTTTGTCATTTGCCTCTTGCTTCAGCGAGAGAATGTTAGAGACATAGATGAACAAAGTGCCCATTCCCAGTCATAAACTCTGTTATCCCTTCTGAATAGAAGGAAGCCTAGTCAGGGAAGAGACAAATTGATTTTAATAGTAGGGCTATTAAGACAGATGCACACTGAATGAAATTTAGTATAATAATTTTGGTCAGATTCAAAATGTCACACATCTAGAATTACACAGAGTTGCAAATATGTAATTCAAACCTGGAAATGAGGTGTCACAAAATAATATGATTAAAAATAATGTGGGTTGGAGCGATTTGTCACTTACCTGGAATGAACAACACATCGCCTGCTTCAAGAGAACATTCATGGCGCCTGGCTTTCCTAAAAAGGGGATATTTCTCCATATCCGGGTTATCCACGTTTAACACCTCTGATTTGGTGCCTAATGAAGTTTAAAAAAAACCCCTATTCACAAATTCTTTAATACTGGCCAATGTAAGTCAACACAACGTTCTTAAGATATAACAATTATTGGGCCAAATTCAACCATGACAGAACTTCATTGACTTCAGCTGAGTTCCATCAGGGTTGAATGTGGCACTCTGTGCACATTTCAAGTATTACTACGGGTTGGACCTGGTCCGGCACCCTCGGGGTCTGAGCCGTCCTGGACCAGGGAGTTTGCTGTAGCAGGAGAGGTCAATGCTTCACTGCTGGCTGCCCAGCTGCTGGCTCCTCTCCCTGGGGCTCTCAAGGCTGGCGTTCCCTGCCCTGACGCTGCCCCACTAATTCTGGCCAAGCTGAGACTTCCCACCTGCTGCCACTGGGGGTTCCTCAGCCAGGGCTGCCCAGCCACCGTCAGCCCCTTTCAGCCACTACCTCTGGGTATTCCTAGCAGTTTCCTGGCCCCAAGGACACATGGCCATTGCCTGTCCCATAGCTGTGGCCTGGTTCCATTGCTCCCAGGGGAGGGGAGTCCCCGGTCAGGGCCACCGCCGAACCCGCTGTCACCACGGGGTTCTCAGGGTTTCCTGGCTGGGGCTGATAGGCCAGCCCCACTGCCACTGGGGATTGCCATGATGGGGCCAGGACACCCGGTTGCTTCCCGGCCCCACTGCTGGGGGGGTTCCCTGGCTGGGGCTGCTCCGGCCATCTGACCACACTGACCTCTGGGTTTCTCTGGCCAGGGCAGAGGTTCCCAGACAGTGTGTGACCTGGCTGACACCGGAACTCACCTGCCTAGCCACTGCTGGCCCAGCCAGGACTCTGCAGACCCCCCTCTCCTGAGGCTCTTTGGTCTAGCAATATCCGTGGCTTTGCTGGACTACAGATGTTGCCAGGCCAAAAAGTCCCGGATTTGAGAGGTTCAACCTGTACAATCCTACCTATAGGGTGTTCACTGTCCATAATAGCCACTGAAGCCAAGTTTCACTAAGTTACAGTTACAATAGGGATGTATCAGAGTCAGCAAGGAGGGGGAAGCAAGAACTGGTGCTGGGGGGAGGCGGCTGAAAGGCTGGCTCCCCCCAGCACCATTTCTGCGGTTCGGAGAGGGGGGCAGGATAGGCAAAGCTGCAGCGGTCCTTGGGAGCTAACCCCGCTGTGGCTTTGCACTTTAAATGTAGTAAGATCTCACTGGGCTCTTACTACATTTAAAGTGCAGAGCTGCAGTGGGAGTGCCCCATCCCCATCGACTAATCGAGTAGATGGACATTCCATCGACTACTCAATTAACCGATAGTTAGCATCCCTACTTGAGGAAGACTAAATTCAAATGTGTATGACAAAAACATACCTGCTAAATACAAATATGGTGCATCTCGAGGACTGTACAGTACAACTCGTTTTTTTCCTACTATCTGTATTAAGAAGTTATCCATTATCTGAAAATATAATAATACACTATAAGCATAAATAGCAGACAGATTTTATACACAAGAATGGGCAAATATACATTCCATATCAGCATTCTGTTATGTAACATTTCCTCTGAAAATAAAGCTCTGTGTGTGTGTGTATTAAAAATTAAAAAAACAAAAACAAAATTACTACTCCATAAAATGTTACGCTGAAAATCTGAATCATATGACATCTATTTGTGCTGTTAATCTTACATTTTTGATATGTTAATTATAAATGGAAAAAATGCCTCTCCATCTTTCTTTTTAACAACTCTTTTACTTGTCTTTTTTGTCTCTCTTTAAACTAGGACTTGCAAGCTTTACTGTCAAAAATTCAAAGCGATTATCTGCCTTGATTATGAGCAAAGCAAAACATAAGGCAAAATATATTTAGAACTGCTTTTACCATCCTTCCAACCACCTTCTGACCTCATTTTACTAACCTGTCACTGAAAGTGCAAAACCCATGTGTGCTTATCTCATCTACACAATATAATATTCCCATATCTAAACCTGTCTGGGCTCTTACTAGACAAATATATGTGTTACCAATTACAGCAAAAGAGCATGAAAAACCACCACACAGATTAGCTAGGAAAGGATCTCACACAGTTGAAAATAAGCTAATTCTACAAAGTACTATGTAGTTTCACCCTCCGCTGCGATGTGTGGTGGTGTTTATTTTTACTAGGGGACTGCCCCCTGCTCGCTATGCTTGCCAATCCTCCTCTCTCTGCCTGCTTTCACAGCCAGAGAGCCTGATGACATCATTCTGTCACACGGCAGGAAAAACTTTTATATAGAGAGAGAGATTCTTTAAATATTTTACTGCTATTTAAAACAACAAGTAAAACCCAATCTTTCAATTTTTTCCTCACATGAGGCAAGGATTTCAGGATGGGGAAATAAACTGAGACCCAAAATATTTAAAATATTCAATGTCTAAAGTCAGTTAGTATTTGCTTAGTACCCAAAAGCATGCAAGGTGCTTCCAACTGGCAACAAGCCCATGTCCCCTGTAAGGTTTGTAATCTTGGTGCTATAGTCCTGAAATGAGATTCAAACCACATTTTGTCAACAAAGCCACCAACACAAGTTTGCCTACATCATAGTGTGTCCACAGTTGTAGTCCTGCTGAGCTGATGCGGAAGACACTGGAGAAGAACTGTTCCTTTTCAAAATATTCTGGGATTTGAATATCTTCTGCCAATGAAGGAAACTGCTTTCTGATATCTGCAATATCCTAAATTAAAATGAACATATTGCAATGTTCTAGTTAAAATCATATATTTGAAGTGAAAGCTACTGTGTTAAATCATCAAGACTAGATCCCCAGTTGTGGCCAAGGAGCACTTGGTATTACTTGGGGGCTGGACATGGGGGAGCCTTATAAACAATCTTCAGTTATCAGGGTGACAGTCCTGTCTCCAGTATAAGTTAGGACAGCCAAAAGCAGCGTTCCTTCTAATTTTTCCCACCCCAAATTGAATGAATTGTGTTATGTGCATCAAATGGCTATGGCAAGAGTGGAAACAAAGGCTTCTGAGTTGGGAAAGGGCTCAGGTATGGGGCAGAGGCTGGGGATGAGGGTTCTGGGGTGGGGTCAAGGATGAGGGGCTCAGAGCTGGGACAAAGGGTTGGGGAGCAAGGGCTCTGGGAATGAGAGGTTTGGAGTGCAGGAGGGTGCTCTAGCCTGGGGCCAGCAATGGAAGGGGGTACGGACTCTGGGCTGCGGGTGAGGTCCATTAGTGGGTACAGGCTCTGGATTGAGGGTGTGGACTTTGGGATGGTGCAAGGGATGAGGAGTTTGAGGTATAGGAGATGGCTCTGAGTGAGACCCAGAGTTGGGGCTTGGGCTTACCTGGACAGCACCTAGTCAGTGGTGCTAAGGTAGGCTGCCTAGTACCTGCCTATCCTGGGGCACCACACAGCACCCCAGCAGCAGCCAGCAGGTCCAGCTCCTGGGGTGGGTGAGCATGAGGCACCTCAGTGCACAGAGCCCCATGCTCCCCTTGCTAAAAAGCTAGACCTGCCTCGCTGGCTGCTTCCCAACTAACCCCAGCATAGCATTGCCCTGATTGGTGACAAGGAGCCCCTCCCCACTGGTCCCAACACAGGGCTGCCTGGCTCATGGCAGCTTCTTGCTAAAGCCAGCAGAGAGGGGTGCCCCTCGCTGAGCTTGGGGAGAGGCATCTCTCCCCACTGCAGCCATAAGCCACTATGCAGAACTTAGTGGGAAGCCACTGTGCAACTTAACAGGAACTTAGGCTTGAAGGCTGCTCTGATTTATGCTGACAACAGTTCTGAGGGGACAATACCACAGCCAGGAATCATCAAGACACCCCAGCTATGCTACTGCTCTCCCGATTAACCTCTTTATACCAGCATTTGAGGGATGGAAGCAGAGGTGACAGTAAACAGGTGCACCCTGGTGTGCAGCTCTGGCAAGAGCTGGCTGACCTGCAGCAAAAGCTGGCAGGGAGCTATTTAAAGAGTTAGCAGAGATGCGGGTTGCAATAGGACAGTACCTATAAGAAATTATAAGTTACGTTCACTGCTGTTGGGAGGTGAGACACAGGAATCCTAATAGCAGCTATAGGATATCCAGAAAGTCTCTTAAGGAGGCCTAGTCCTTTGTGTTCACTGCTGTTGGGAGGTGAGGCACAGGAATCCTAATAGCGGCTATAGGATATCCAGGAAGTCTCTTAAGGAGGCCTAGTCCTTTGGAGACCAGCTAAGCTTGGATTTAGCACTCCTCTTTAAAATGTTTGGCCTAAATAAGTTTACAAGACAAAAAGGACCACCATCGGGTTGTATGCTTGAATAAAGGCAAATGATCAAAACAAGGTCCTTAAAGATTTTAAACTGCTGCTCTGAAATACATTCCCTGCAGTTCCAAATTACTCACCTTCCGTGGGTCTTCACCTAGTGATCGCAAGTAGTATTTCTCATCCTTAACACAAACGAGAATGATCATTAGTACACAAAAACAAAGAATTAGAACATACAGAGCTTTGACCATCTCATTAGTTTAATGAAGAGCCTCATTAAAATCTGGTACAACTCAATGCCATTTACAAATTCAGCTATTCGGCTATCCTGCCCTTTCTTCCACTGCTCTCTGCTGGTTACCTGAAGAAATGAAAGGAAGTGAAAATATGCTAATTAAATGAAACAGGCAAATTCAAGGGGGCAGGGAAAGATCTAAGGGTATAAAACACATGTTGCTCCATATGGAGACTTAGATCACAAATTGTCAGCCTTTTCAACAGTGCTTTGAGTCTATCCAGTAATAGAGCATATGTAGAAATGAAACCCTTCAGAACACTGACACAGGAAATCACAACAATGTATTTCAGAACATACTGCATGTTACAAATAAATGATGGAAGGAATATTTGAAAAATCATTTGGAGTTGCCCAGCTTCTACTCCCTTAGGGATGTAAAATCCCAGTTAATCAGTTAACTGGTTACACCTTAGGTTTAACTGGTTAACCGATTAAGCAGGATCCCACATGGGGAGGTGTCCAGCAGGAGTCAGTAGCCCTGTGAGATGGGGGCGGTGGATTTCTGCTGCCCCGTGAGCTGTGGGCAGAGGGCTGCTCTCCTGGGTATTTGGTTAACTGGTACCCAGTAAGCATCACCCATTAAGAGTAATGCTTAGTGGGTAACCAATTAACCATTCACATCACTAATTCCCATTTAAACTTTATATAACTAAATGTAATTGGGGAAAGTGAATTCCTATGAACACATTGGGTAACCAGTTAACCATTCACATCACTAATTCCAATTTAAACTTTCTATAACTAAATGTATTTGGGGAAAGTGAATTCCTATGAACACACACACCATTCAAAGTTTTTTGGACGTAGTTATGTTATGATGTCATTTAATTACTTAATAAATGAGTGTGTTGTAACATTTCTGCCTTTTATATTTGTACATCTTATAAATTGCTATAGCTTAACTAAACACTTGAGCATTTACATCCTTTAAAATATCTAACATACATAGTTGCTATTTTAAGCATGATTTCATTTCTTACTCTGTCTTGAAAACTTTAGTCATGTAAGTAGTAAGGATGTGAATGGTTAACTTATAAGCCTCACTCTTAATGGGTGAGGCTTACTGGTTCCAGTTACCAGTGCAGGCTGGAGCAGCTTCCCACCTGTCGCAGTCAGGGGGTGATCCAGTCTACTTGGAGCAACCCCTGACCACAGAGGCCCAGGGCCAGGTATCCTGCAGGCAGGGGCACTCCAGATGGCGGAAGCAGCCCTAGCCTGTGAAAAGCCAGGTCATGCCTCAGTCAGGGATGCTCTCATTCCCGCAGCCCCTTTAACTGGCTAACTGGTTAAACATTATGTTTAGCCAGTTAACCAGTTAAATGGGATTTTACATCCCTTGTAAGCAGTCCTTTGCCACACACGCAAGCCCAATGTAATCAGTTATACAATACACATGAGAAATGATTAACTCTTGAGCTCTGATCCAGCAAAGCATGTTTTACTTTAAAGTTAAGTGCTTTGCTAAAAAAAAAAGCTTAAAGCAAATCTCAATATAGTGACCTAATAACTAAAGAAAGAAAATATGATGTTTTAAGGAAATTACCTCAGATATAAAGTACTCAGTATGTTTGACTTCAGCTGCTCTCCGTACAAACACATCAAAAGGCAATGTTCTGAAATATAAATATGCATAATGATAATCAATGTAGCAATTATTTAACTAATGGGCATAGAATACTTAGTACCAGATCAAATTCATGTCTCTGGCCTATAACAATGTAGTAGGACAAATGATTTAATCTGTTTTAAATAATCAGCATGCAGACTAACAATTGTTTGCAATAGAATGTCAAATAACTGACAAGATAAAAATCATATGTAAAAATCTTTCATTATTGTGCAGATTGTTCCTACACTACAGCCAAATATTTTTGGCTGTAAGTCAGCTTGTAGAAAGATAATTATTTGGGATCAGATTTTCAAGAGTGTTCACTATCCAAAAATTCTGTGCTCAAACTCTTGTGCTCAATGGGAGTAGATGGGTGACGACAGCTCTTTTGAAAACATGGTCATTTAATTTAGATGCCTAAATAGAAACTAAGCTCTACTGTAAATATAACCCCAGTTATAGGTGACAAGCATTTCTGGAAATCTGGGTCACAGTTTGTGCTGCTGACTTCTTTCAATCATTGAATACTAGAACTGGAAGGGACCTCGAGAGGTCATCAAGCCCAGTCCCCTGCCTGCAAAGCAAGACCAAGTACCATCTAGGGATGTCAACGTGCAGTCCACTACACGATTAACTGATAAACCAAGGCTTATCAACTATTGCACTCCCTCTCTCTCCCCTCCCCCCATTGCTGCCTCTCTATCAGCGCCCCCACCAGCTCCTGAGGACCAGCTTTAAGCAGACTCCTAAGCATTGGATCCACCTGCCTCCCGCAACCCCTCGCTGCTGCCTCTCTCATAGACAGGCAGCAGTGCAGAGGGTGAAAACGCCAGGCTACAGCTGATATCTGTGGGGAGCCATCTTGTGGCTCTCCACGCATGCTGGCTCCGTGGACCTGCCTGCCCTCCTCTTGCTGTGTTCTACAGAGGCAGTGAGGGGGAACGGGCAGGAGCAAGTGCTGGGGGGAGTCAGTTTAAAAGCCAGTTCCCCCCAGCACCAGCTCTGCAGTGCGACTGCCTCTTCCCCGAAATGAAGTAGCAATGGGTAGCAATCAATGACTCCATGTGTGGTTGACAGTCGGTATCAAGCGAAGTGCCCCAAGGGTTGGTTCTGGGGCAAATTTTGTTCAACGTTTTTATTATTTGGATAAGGCGATGGATTGCACCCTCAGCAAATTTGCAGATGACACTAAACAAGGGGGACGAGGTAGATACACTGGAGGGTAGTGATAGGGTCCAAAGTGACCTACGCTTTGAATGAAAGATCATTCAAATCACCTAGCTGTAGCCATTGATAGATGGTCCATTTCACTGATAATATACAATGTCTATGTTCATGTAAAGCTTGATTCAGCAGCTTCTGGAGTCAATAGAGAGAATCCCACAGACACCAATGGAAGTAGATTCAGACCCACAACCTGAACTATGCCTTATCCCTCTGAAAGCAACATGAGTTGTTTGTGCTCAGCAGCACATGTCTGGATCAAGTCTTAGCTGGCCATAATAATGTTTAAGTCTGTGTACTATAGAGTTTTTATTCTTGTAGTAATTTTATTTATTTTCTCCTCCAATATGTATATAGCCCAGTCCAGAGAACTTCTGAGATCCCCAAGTACTCTAGAAGTGGCAACATTCATAAATACTTAGCAACTCTCAACATCAGACATTTAAGGTGCATCTACACTACATCTGTATCTCAAAATCAGCTACGTAATTTGAATGTAGCTTATTTTGAAGATTTCGAAACAAACCGCTATTCTGAAATGCCCCTTAATCCTCATGGAACGAGGTGTACAGGGATGTCAGAACAGCAAGCCCGTTATTTTGAAATAATGGGCTTGTTTAAAAGTCGTGGAATAGCTATTTTAGGATGCCAGAAATAGCGCCGCTATCGAGATGCACTCCCCATGAGCATTTCCATACTGACATATATAAAAATGCAAATTTAGCCCCCGTCTGTAAACTCTAACACGCCTGAGCAATTTATGCATGTGAAATATCACCACTGAATTAAACAGAAATCCTTATATACATAATGTCAGTAAAGTGCATTATACACATAATATTAGTAAAGTGCATAGTATCAGAGCCTTATAAGGAAAACAAAGAAACAAAATTGCAACTCTCCTTTATTTGACTGTTTTGTGTTTCATTTTTCTCCCAAACAGTGAGATAAACACTAATATAAATGAGACAGATGTAGGACAGAATTTTATTTGTAGTCCAAAACACTATTTCAAAATGGTCAACAGTTCAACCAGCTGTGAATAAAAAAAATGTAATGAATATGACACCAGGCTTTACTCATTGTAGGCTCTAGAACAATTGATTCCAGCACTTTTTCTGCTTTCTTAAACTTTATTAAAATAAGAAATGATTGAACATATCTTTCATACTTGCAGAAAGCAAACAACAACTGAAATGAAAACTTTATGATTTGTAGATCAACAAGAAAATGGCTGAGGTGCACTGGATTCTGAAAAATGTTTCGGGAAACCACAGGACATGGAAAAATGTAATGAAGAGCTTCTTAGGACATTACACATTTTGTGGTACCAATCTCCAGAGTAAGCAACTAGTGAAATGTGCAATATTCTTTAGTTTGAGGACACTGGAAAGTGCTCATGCCCTAAGCTTTGAAGTTGTTTGTTTTTTAAATGCAGACATCCTTCCAGTGTAAGTCTGTTGAACTAGCACATCTGTAATATAACAGCATTAAAAGAAGTTCAGGTAGGGTACATCTACATTGCACCATTATTTCAAAATAAATAGTGTTATTTCGAAATAACAATGCAAGCATCTACACAGCCATTCTGTTATTTCAAAATAATTTTGAAATAAAGGACGGCTTATTCAAAAAATCTGTAAACCACATTCTACAAGGAATAACGCCTATTCCAAAATAGCTATTTTGAAATAAGGTATGTGTAGATGCTCCACTATTGTTATTTCGAAATAGCCCCTTACCAGGGCCAGTCTAAGTTATTCCTCCTCAGTGCTTTAGGGGCTCTAAATTGACATCTACATTAGGGAAGCCTGCCTCGGACTAATTTTGAGGCTTCCCTGCAGTGTAGACGTGCTATTTCAAAATAAGCTATATCAAAATAACTATTCCAGAATAGCTTATTTCAAAATAAGCATGCAGTGTAGACGTATCCGTACTGAGCAGCACTAACTTCTAACAATTCTAATCAAATACTGAAAAAACATCAGAGAATCAGAACGGCATGTAGTGTGTTGCCTAGTTTCAAGCGTGTTGTTGCAGCAGACTGCAAGTCACAAACTGAGTGTTTCTCTCAAACCCTTCTCTTTGCCTCTATTTTCACTACATCAAAATCAGACCACTTATTTTCATTTTAGGCCCTTCACCGTCTATCCCTGTGCTACTTATCAAACTCTCATACAGTATTGAGACATTGACTACCACATTCATTCTGCAAATGACCACACATTTTTAAATTTTTCTGAACAAGCATCTTTGCAGTCCTTCCCATGCTGCACCTTATGCATGGGAGGGCGCTTTCCACAAGTATCTGCAGAACCACTATTATCCTCCTCCAAAATATTTTTTTAATATCAGAAAGGAGTTTTACCAGTGGGGTGTATTGACAGGACAATGTAGTGAAATTTGATTTACCACAGCCTTTATCATGCCTCATCTGTGAATGAGATGAGGCTCAAGTTTCCTACCCAGTCTCACATCTTGCATGAGCACCAAAGAAATATTAAAAAACTGCTTGCTGGGACTGGGGGCAGGGGGGTTAGAGAGAGACTATGACACACTAAGGAATTCCAATGTCATAGCTGAATTAGAAAGCTGTGATGAAATACATTTTAAATTAAGAACAAAAAACACCTTTCTAATGGTGTCTAAATTCAAAGGCATTTTCTTAAAAAGAGAAGCTCTATCATATCTACTTACTACAGTAAATAACAATATATGTGATAATTACCATTAAGAAATTTACCTACAGCAAGAGAGCACCAGATTGCTGAATAGTAACACCAACAGATCCAGGCATCATAGAAGAGCACACTTTGTATAAAACGTCAAAGCAATGTAGAATGTTTATAAAAGTGGCCAGTGCATCCCTTTAAAATAAAAGAAGTCTTGCAATAAAGTACCTATATAAAAAGTTCTTACTGAGGAAGTCCATCTGTGGCACCGTGGAAACATGAATCTTTACTTCTCTAGTTCCTGCTGTCTGGCTAAGGTAATCCACTGTCCATTTGGTTGTGCAAGTGCCTAGGTGTATTCCTTTCAGCACTGCTGGCTTTCTCTGAAATGTAAACAAAAGCAGTTTTATGGCATGTCATGTTGTCACTGAACTAGTAATAGAATCCAACAAACAATTTCAGAACTAATTTGTCAAGTTAAGTACAAGAACCAATCAAATGAATATGTACACCTGGTGCACATTAGCCAGAATGCTCTAAAATCTGATTTGTCAATTTTATACATGTTCACTTTTTTTTTTTAATTGTATCCCTTTGGTATATATGGTCATGCCAATTTTCTTCCTCAATTTGATCTGAGGAAGTGGGTCTGGCCCATGAAAGCTCATCACCTAATAAACCATCTTGTTAGTCTTTAAAGTGCTGCATAGTCCTGTCTTTTGTTTCAGCAAGACCAGACTACATCTCTATTACTGTTTATAAGTAGTGAGTTTTGAGTTCATTTACTTTATATATTCATTCTTTACCTCTCTTTTTACATCAAGCAGAGGGGGTGCTGGCTCTTAACCCTCATGTGTTTCTGGTTTTAATGTAACATGGTTGATGGAGGAACACATGAGATTAATTATTCCCTTTTTGTTTTCAAATCAAACTCCAAGGCAATGTCTACACTGGCATGATCTTGCGCAAATACTATTTAACACAAGAGTTCTTGCGTTGAAGTATTTACGCAAGAGAGCATCTACACTGGCATGTGCCTTTGCGCAAGAGATGTGCTTTTGCGCAAGAGCATCCGTGCCATGGTAGACGCTCTCTTGCGCAAGAAAGCTCCAATGGCCATTTTAGCTATCTGGCTTTCTTGCACAAGAAATTCATGTTGCCTGTCTACACTGGCCTCTTGTGCAAGAACAGTTGCACAAGAGGGCTTATTCCTGAGCGGGAGCATCATAGTTCTTGCGCAACAAGCACTGATTTCATACATTAGAACGTCAGTGTTCTTGCGCAAGAACTCCCCGCCAGTGTAGACAGGCAGCATGTTTTTGCGCAAAAGCGGCCGCTTTAGTGCAAGATCGCGCCAATGTAGACACAGCCCAAGGTAATAGCAGATAGGCTTGCATCAGGTGTTACAACAAACAACTTCTACCCAATTTTAACTAATAAGAATCCCACTAGTTTCAGTCAGAGTTTGACACACAGGCATCCAGGACTGAGATCATCACTGCATCATATCTCCAGCTAGCAGAAAAATGAGCAGTATACTTTCAGGATGACAGCCATGCAACCATCATGTAACCCAACTGGGATTGTTAAAAGACGACACTCCATGCTATACTCCAGCTTGCGTCCTGAAACTATATGTACAAAGCCCTGGGCCCCCACTTAAGACCCAAAGAAGACAACAGTGCTTTGTGCAGGGTCTTTTTGCCTAGAGCTCCTTCCAGGATTAGTGCTTTAGCCTTCTTTAGCCTAATGAGGAATACTCCCGTCTTCTTGTGCCACATGAGGGGACATGCTGTTGTTTCAGTTCCTCAAGATCTATATGTCAACATATAATGAGATCTATTCCTCACCAGTGTTTTTCACTTATCCCACTACAAGGAAAAAAATTCATATGACCACCACACACATCTCTGTTACATAATGCCAACAAGAATAGTTAGCAGGTATATAATGCTTTTCACTCATCGATCTCAAATATAAGAGATGCAAAACTATCCTGATTAAATGCAATTTTGATTTTTTGGGAGATGTTCTTCACTTCTCTTTTAAGAAAGAACTAAAATTATCCAACAGGAGGCTCAGCTAACCACAATTTACCTCAAACTTTCATATCTTATCAGTGTAATTTTCTAATCATCCTTCTTTCCCCATTTATTCTCATCATAACACCACTGTTTAGAAACACATGCCATTTTTGTCAGACTGATATCACTAAGTGAATTTGTAAAATATCAGAACGCTCTTTAGAAATGGACATACTACACAAAGAAATACACTTCACATTGTCTGATGCATCTTCACAGCATATGAAGCATCTTCACTATTTTAATCACAAAAATAGGAATGACATAAAAGTGACATTCTGGTTTATATTCTTTTTGAAGAATCAATTAAAAAGGCAACGATAGTGAAATATTGGTTAGTTTTATAGTTTTGTCTTATTTGTTGTTTTCTCTCTCTCTCTCTCTCTGGGGTCCCTGTTATAATGGGAAACCCAAAATCAATGGGTATCACACACAGTTTGGACTTTAATATTCTTCAAGTTCCAAAAATCTTGTATTGTGTAAGAAGCCAAACGGCTTCTGTAAAGGGGGACGAGGAGAATCTGAAGTAACCTCTTGCTACACTGGGATTGCCATGGGCCAGCTAAATCTCGCACGCTCGTTTCGGATTCAGTTTAAGAGCTGCGTTGGGTCGGCTCGCTCTTGGGAGGGCGTCAGGGGGCAGCAGAGGATGGGCTGAGGGAGTTTCAAGGGGATAAACAGCAGGGCTGTGTCTACACTGGCATGAATTTCTGGAAATGCTTAAAACGGAATACTATTCTGTTTTCAGTTTTTCTGGAAAAGGAGCGTCTACATCGGCAGGCTGCTTTTCCGGAAAAGCCCCTTTTCCGGAAAAGCGTCTGTGGCCAATGTAGACGCGCTTTTCCGGAAAAGA